CACTCTGTCACTCAGGCTGGAGCACAGTGGTACAGTCTTGGCTCACTGCAACCTCTGCTTCCAGGGTTCAGGTGATTCTTGTGCCTCAGCCTCCTGAGTAGCTGGGATTACAGGTGTGAGCCACCATGCCCAGATATAATTTTTTTTTTTTTTGAGACGGAGTTTCACTCGTTACCCAGGCTGGAGCGCAATGGCGCGATCTCGGCTCACCGCAACCTCCGCCTCCTGGGTTCAGGCAATTCTCCTGCCTCAACCTCCTGAGTAGCTGGGATTACAGGCACGCGCCACCATGCCCAGATAATGTTTTGTATTTTTAGTAGAGACGGGGTTTCACCATGTTGACCAGGATGGTCTCGATCTCATGACCTCGTGACCCACCTGCCTCGGCCTCCCAAAGTGCTGGGATTACAGGCTTGAGCCACCGTGCCCGGCAATGTTTGTATTTTTAGTAGAGACAGGGTTTCACTATTTTGGCCAGGCTGGTCTCAAACTCCTAAACTCAGATGATTTGCCTGCCTCTGCCTCCCAAAGTGCTGGGATTACAGGAGTGAGCCCTAGCCTAAGGCTGTAAATTTTAAAGTTAGGATTACAACATGTAAGAGAGTTGGAAGCTGGGCATGGTGGTTCATATCTGTAATCCCAGAACTTTGGGAGGCTGAGGCAGGCGGATCACAAGGTCAGGAGATCGAGACCAGCCTGGCCAATAAGGTGAAACCCCGTCTACTAAAAATACAAAAATCAGCCAGGTGTTGTGAGCGTCTGTAGTTCCTACTATTTGGGAGGCTGAGGCAGTAGAATCGCTTGAACCCGGGAGGCGGAGGTTGCAGTGAGCCAAAATTGCACCGTTGCACTCCAGCCTGGGTGACAAAGTGAGACTCTGTCTCAAGAAAAAAGAATAAAAAAGAGAGACAGAGAGTTGGGAAAGTATTTTTTTAAGAGACAGGGTCTCATTCTGTCACCTAGGCTACAGTACAGTGGCACAATCATGGCTCACTGTAGCCTCAAACTCCAGGGCTCAGGCGATCCTCCTGCCTAAGCCTCTCAAAAGGCTGAGATTATAGGCGTGAGCCCCATGCCCAGCCCAGCTGGGAAAGTCTTTAGTGGGCATTCGGCCTTCAACATCTTCCCCGTTCTCTCATTTTATAGATGGTGGCACTTTGAGAGGCTGAGGCAGGCGGATCATGAGGTCAGATCAAGATCATCCTGGCCATCTTGTCTCTACTAAAATACAAAAAACTAGTTGAGCTTGGTGGCAAGCGCCTGTAGTCCCAGCTACTAAGAGGCTGAGGCAGGGGAATCGCTTGAACCCGGGAGATGGAGGTTGCAGTGAGCCGAGACCTCGCCAGTGTACTCCAGCCTGGTCACCGAGCAAGACTCTGTCTCAAAAAAAAAAAAAAAAGAAAAAGACTTTCCCAGCTGGGCTGGGCGAATAGCTTGCCCATGGTCATACCACAAATGAGTAGCCAAAGCCCAGGGCTCCTGATACCTGGAGCAGAGGCCTCTCTATATAAATTCTCACTTCCATTTAGAGACACTGTATGATCTTTATAGAATCCGAGCAGGAGCAAGCACAGTTTGCACACAAAAAACTATCTTCAAAATAAGAGTATTTTTTGTAGAGTACCAACTAAATGCCAGGTACAGTGGGGGACACAGAAGCATAAGACCCAATCACGTACACACAGGAAGTGAATGCCGAGTTACTCCTAAAACTCTTTCAAGGTGGCAGGGGACCTCCTCAGAGCTATCACTAACCCTGTTCTGACCCCACAGTGAGTGCCATGCAAATCAACCCTGCCGTCTTAAGAAGTGAAAGTTAAATTAGATTCTTGACTGGGAAAAGTAGGAGACAGAGAAAAGGCAGCTAAGGCTAACTCAGTTGGCTTTTCTCACGTGACTCAAGTTTAGGACACCTATTTTCCCCAAGCAGAGAAGCCCACAAGCAATCAAAGCAAGAGAGCTTGCTGGGGCTGGGAGGCAGAGTTTTAGTCCATTAGGGCTTTTTGTCCTCATCCTTCCAGAGAAATGAAACAAAAAACGACATATAAAATAGGAGCCCAAATTTCCTCTTAGGTTTAGCATATCTAAAATTGCTCCAAGTTGCTATAAAAATTTCTAAACACTTCTATTTTCGCAATTATCTTATTTCAGAAGGACAACAGTTTGTAGACTGATGCCAATACTGGCCCATACTTGGAGTGAACTGCCCTGAAGACATCTGGGGACTCTTTGGCCCCTAGAAATCCTTTGGTAGAGGGATCTCTGAGCTCCACTTCCTACCCAAACCAGGTCCACGGTGCTGGGAAGTTATCTGGATGCTGTGATGGTCACAGGATAGAATCACAACTGGGACTGTCCATCTATGCTTTCCTCTGAACTTCTCTTTTTTTTCTTCTTCTTCTTATTTATTTATTTATTTATTCTCCTCCTCATCCCCGGCCTCCTCCTCTGAACTTCTCTAGTCTTCCTTTCCCAGCTGTAGGAAAGAGCTTCACCAACAAAGAAAGACTTCCACCCCTTTATTCTAGTCCCCAACCATATCCAATGGTACCCACTAGGATCAAAGACAGGTTCTTTCGTTCATTTATTCAGGCGCCTTCCTAAGCACTAAGAACCCAAAGTGAACTTAAAAGACAGATTTCTGGATGGGTGCGGTGGCTCACGCCTATAATCCCAGCACTCTGGGAGGTCGAGGCAGGTGGATTACCTGAAGTAAGGAGTTTGAGACCAGCCTGGCCAACATGGTGAAACCTCATCTCTACTAAAAATACAAAATTATCCAGCATGGTGGTTCATGCCTGTAATCCCAGCTACTGGGGAGGCTGACGTAGGAGAATTGCTTGAACATGGGAGGCAGAGGTTGCAGTGAGCTGAGATCACGCATTTGCACTCCAGCCTGGGCAACAAGAGCAAACTCTGTCTCAAAAAAAATAAATAAAAGACAGATTCCATGGCCGGGCGTGGTGGCTCACGCCTATAATTCCAGCACTTTGGGAGGCTGAGGCGGGTGGATCACGAGGTCAAGAGATCGAGACCATCCTAGTCAACAAGGTGAAACCCCCGTCTCTACTAAAAATACAAAAATTAGCTGGGCATGGTGGCACGCGCTGTAGTCCCAGCTACTTGGGAGGCTGAGGCAGGAGAATTGCTTGAACCCAGGAGGCGGAGGTTGCGGTGAGCTGAGACCGCACCACTGCACTCCAGCCTTGGTAACAAGAGCGAAACTCTGTCTCGAAAAAAAAGACAGATTCCTGCCTAAGAAGCTGAAGTCCTAGTAACAAAGTGGTATCAGAAAGAAAGGCTTCAGTGGTTTACACCTGTAATCCTAGCATTTTGGGAGGCCAAGGTGGGCAGATCACTTGAGCCCAGGAGTTCAAGACCAGGCTGGCCAACATGGCAAAACCCCTTCTCGACTAAAAATACAAAAATTGGCCAGACACGGTGGCCCATGCCTGTAATCCCAGCACTTTGTGAGGCCGAGGCAGGCAGATCACGAGGTCAAGTGATCAAGACCATACTGCCCAACATGGTAAAACCCCATCTCTACTAAAAATACAAAAATTAGCTGGGTATGGTGGCATGCACCTGTTGTCCCAGCTACTTGGGAGGCTGAGAATGGAGAATCACTTGAACCTGGGGGTGGAGGTTGCAATGAGCCCAGATTGTGCCATTGCACTCCAGCCTGGCGACAGAGCAAGACTTCATCTCAAAAAAAAAATTAGCCAGGTGTGGTGGTGTGCACCTGTAGACCCAGATGCTTGGGAGGCTGAGGCAGGAGAATCCCTTGAACCCAGGAGGCAGAGCCGCAGTGAACTGAGATCGCACCACTGCGCTCCAGCCTGGGCAACAGAGTAAGCCTCTGTCTAAAAAAAATAATAATAAAGAAAAGAAAAGAAAGAAAGAAAGGCATCAGTCTTCCCAAATATAGCTCTGGGTGGCCCAAAGGTTGGTTCTCAGACATATCAGAAATCAACTAATTGGAGATCTAACCCTCAGATATAAAAGGATAAGTTTGTGGGCTGGGCACAGTGGCCCATGCCTGTAATCCCAGCTCTTTGGGAGGCCGAGACAGGCAGATCATGAGGTCAAGAGACCAAGACCATCCTGGCCAACATGTTGAAACCCTGTCTCTACTAAAAATACAAAAAAATTTAGCTGGGCATGGTGGCACACACCTGTAGTCCCAGCTACTTGGGAGGCTGAGGAAGGAGAATCACTTGAACCTGGGGGCGGAGGTTGCAGTGAGCCAAGATTGTGCCACTGCACTCCAGCCTGGCGACAGAGCAAGACTCCATCTCAAAAAAAAAAAAAGGATAGATTTGCTAGGAATGAAGGAAATTTACTAGCACTTACTTTGCTAGAATGCGGTGGAAGGGACTGATACAGAGACGAACTCTGAAGTGTCCCTGCTCCATAGTCCCACAGTTCTATAACCTCACAGCCTGGAAGGGAGTGGGAGGGATGGTGCACTCACTGGTTTGGGTAAATTAGTAGGTGGGGGCCCCAAATGGCATTGCTTTATGATTATTAACAGCTTGGGGAGGAGGCAGGGCAGAGAGTGGAGGCTCACTGACAGATGAGGACATTGTAACTCCAAGAATAGGTGACCTGCCTTCAGGGTTAAGGACCCAACCTGCTGTGGCCTACGTGATTCTGAGCAATGGGCCAAAGAAGCAGGAAGAGACAAAATTGACATATAGAATAAAGAAAGCTCAAGGGTAGGAGAAAAGCTTCAGCCTCTCTCTCAGTCTGGGAGGGAAGGGCTGGAGGGGCTGGGCAGGGCGGGGCTTTCCTCGAAAACTGAGTCCCTCCTCCCGGGTCCCCCCATTGGATCAGTGGCTCCTGCAGCCCTGCCAGTGAGAAACAAATGAGAAGCGCTGCTGATTTTCCCCCTTGGCCATTCAGAATTTTCTCACATAAATACTGAGGAAGACTGCCCTCTCCTCATTTCTCTGGGCTCGGCCCTGAGCTGGACCTGGTCCACAGGGGTAGGCAGGGTGATGGGGAACCTGTTTGTGCTCTGGGCAGCTGTGGGCATATGCTGTGCCACATTCAGAGCCTCTGCCTGGTAAGTCCTTTCCTACCCTCATTCCAAGCCCCCACTGCCTCATCCCCATTCACCTCTGCCTCACTTTTTCTCTTTTTGGTAGGTCAGTGAACAATTTCCTGATAACAGGTCCGAAGGTAGGATGATCTCCGGCTTCCTTTACCCACTGAGGACCCTAAGGGGACTTTTCTGGAGAAAGAGGGGAGGGGACAGTGCCAGAGAGCCTCACTCAGAGGAACCCATAGTGAATTGTCGATGGAGAGCTGGCCTATCTGAGTCCTGCCTGCTCCCCCCATCCTAGATGGCCCACACCGGGCAGACGCTCACAGCCCGTTTCCCTTTGCCAGGCTTATCTGACCTACACAACTAGCGTGGCCTTGGGTGCTCAGAGTGGCATCGAGGAGTGCAAGTTCCAGTTTGCCTGGGAACGCTGGAACTGCCCTGAAAACGCTCTCCAGCTCTCCACCCACAACAGGCTGAGAAGTGGTAAGTTTGTGCGGGACTCACCTGTGCAAGGGGCATATATGTGAATGGAGAGGGGCTTGCAGTATGTGTGTATGTGTGCCATGTGTTGCACAGTGAAATGAAAATGCTGCCGGTGACCTGCTGACCTGCCTTTCCTTGCTGTGTGACCTTGAGTAAATTACTTCCCTTCTCTCAACCCCAGATTTGTCATTTGGGTCGGTAAGGCCAGTTCTGTGTAGTTCATCAGAAGTATCCTAAGGGTTGAATGAGGTGGATATGAGATGTCTCCATCTATGAGATAAATATAGGAAATTATTATTTTTTTTTTGAGATGGAGTCTCGCTCTTATTGCCCAGGCTAGAGTACAATGGCATGATCTCGGCTCACTGCAACCTCCACCTCCCGAGTTCAAGCGATTCTCCTGCCTTAGCCTCCTGAGTATCTGGGATTACAGCCATACATCATGCCCAGCTAATTTTTGTATTTTTAGTAGAGAAGGGGTTTCACCATGTTGGCCAGTCTGGTCTTGAACTCCTGACCTCAGGTGATCCACCCACCTCAGCCTCCCAAAGTTCCGGGAATTACGGGCGTGAGCCACTGTGCCCAGAGGAAATTACTCTTTTTTTTTTTTTTTTTAAGACGGGGTTTCACCATGTTGGCCAGGATGGTCTTGATCTCCTGACCTTGTGATCCACCAGCCTCGGCCTCCCAAAGTGCTAGGATTACAGGTGTGAGCCACCATGCCTGGCGAAATTACTCTATTTTTTAAATGCATGCATATATTTATGTGTTTGTACACACTGATCTTGCACTGAATTGCATGAAATAAAAATGGGGAAATGGCTTTGTGTTTGCAGCCCCTGAGGAAGTTTCACGTGGCTAACTGCCATAAAATCCCAACAACAGAAAAGCTGAGATGTCACATTGAGCTGGGCCTCAGGTGGGGTGTGTGTCTGTGTGTGTGTATGTGTGTGTGTGTGTGTGTATGTACCCATGTAGCCACTGTATGCCATAGTTTGCATGTCATTTTTGAAGATAATATTCACCTGAGAATAGTTAGGGGAAAGAGAATAAAGAAGAGGGAGAAAGTGGCCAAGCATGGGCTGGGATCATGCCTATAATCCCAGCACTTTGGGAGGCTAAGGCAGGAGGATTGCTTGAGTTCAGGAGTTTGAGATCAGCCTGGGCAACATAGCAAGACCTTGTCTCTACTAAATAAAAGTAAAATAATTAGCTGGCATGGTAGCATGTGCCTGTAGTCCCAGCTAGCTGGAAGGCTGAGGTGGGAGAATTGTTGGAACCCAGGAGTTCGAGGGCATAGTGAGCTATAATCACACCACTACACTCTGGTCTGGGTGACAGAGCAAGACCTCGTCTCAAAAAAACAATAAAAAACAAGAGGATAGAAGGAACTATCTCCCTGTGGGGTATAACATAGAATAGGGAGTATGTAGAAATGAAATGTGACAATGTTTATAAAAAACTTTAGTAAGATAAAAAAAAAAATAAAAATAAAATAAAAAAACAAAAACAAAAAAAAGAAAAAAAAACTTTAGCAAGATAAGAGCTCAGTAAGTGGCAGTCATGATTATTATGATTATTACATGGCCCAAGCTTCCCAGTCAGAAAGCGGAAAGGGTCCTTCTCCCTCTCCTAAGCCAGCCTCGGGCACTGCGTCTCACTGCCGAACGACTAGCAGCAGTGGCTAGTGGACAGAGGTCCAGGCTGGACTCGAAGGGAGCAGGGTCCTGATCCCGACACCGCAACTAGAAAGTGCTCTCGTTCTCATCATTCTTTTTTTTTAGATAGGGTTTCCCTCTGTCGCCCAGGCTGGAGTGCAGTGGCATGATCTCAACTCACTGCAATCTCTGCCTCCCAGGCTCAACCAATTCTCCAGCCTCAGCCTCCTGAGTAGCTGGGACTACAGGCATGCATCCCCATGCCTGGCTAATTTTTATATTTTTTTGTAGAGACGGGGTTTCGCCAGGTTGCCCAGGCTGGTCTTGAACTCCTGGGCTCAAGTGATCTGCCCACCTCAGCCTCCCAAAGTGCTGGGATTACATTGGTCTCATCATTCTATCTCTGGTTTTTACTTTCCCTATTGGTAATATAGGCATGTTCATTCCTGCCTGGATGAAGTAAGGAGACTGGAAAGATGCATTGTTCTTTCAAATAGAAGTGCATTGGCTGGATGCAGTGGCTCACACCTGTAATTCCAACTTTGGGAGGCTGAGGCAGAAGGATTGCTTGCACCCAGGAGCTCAACTCTAGCCTGGGCAACATAGTGAGACCCTATTTCCAATAAAATAATAATAGGCCAGGTGTGGTGGCTCATGCCTATAATCCCAGCAGTTTGGGAGGCCAAGGCGAATAGATCAGTTGAGCCTGAGGAGTTCTAGACCACTCTGGCCAACATGGTGAAACCCCATCTCTACCAAAAATAAAAAAATAAAAAAAATTAGCCAGGTGTGGTAGCATGTACCTATAGTCCCAGCTATTCGGGAGACTGAGGCAGGAGAGTCATTTGAACTTGGGAGGTGGAGGTTGCAGTGAGCCAAGATCACACCATTGCACTCCAGCCTGGGTAACAGACTGAGACTCTGTCTCAAAAACAAAAACAAACAACAGGCCAGGCATGGTGACTCATGCCTATCATCCCAGCACTTTGGGAGGCCGAGGCGGTTGGATCACAAGGTCAAGAGATTGAGACCATCCTGGCCAAAATGGTGAAACTCATCTCTATAAAAATACAAAAATTAGCTGGGCGTGGTGGCAGGTGCCTGTAGTCCCAGCTACTTGAGAGGCTGAGGCAGGAGAATCACTTGAACCTGGGAGGTGGAGGTTGCAGTGGGCTGAGATCACATGACTATACCTGGTGACAGGGCGAGACTCCATCTCAAAAAAAA